CCTCCTCCTTGTCCGCGGCACGGTACGGCGACGCGACGCGACGCGACGCGACGCCTCGCGTCCGACGACGGTCGACCGCGCGGCAGTGACAGCGCGACGTCCCACCGAACGTGCCGTCGTCTCCGAAGATGTGTTTTCTAATACCCTGATATTGATACTTGACGCGTACCGATCGATCAGTGGCCAGTCCATGTCCGGAAGTGACGCGCCGATTCGCGATACCCTGTACACGCGAATGCGAATTGCGTATCTTGAAATGAGGTGAAAATTACAAAAAGAAAATGAGCAAATTCGTTAAATACGTATAATTTCATTGGTCAATATTTAGTGAATTTACTCACTTTTGTGATTTTCATTTTAATTCAAGATACACAATCAACTCCCAGAGATTCGATTGTATATCGCACAGCTTGATGAAAATGGAGCAACAAAAGTGAGCAAATTTATGTATCAACTAATTACAAAGTATAAACATTCCAATGAAGTCGCCCGTTTTTGTAATGTTCACCTCACAATCGAATCTCAGGGGCCGTATTCTCGGAAAATATCGTATAAAATGTACGAAAATACTATATAATATATATTATATGTATATGTTATAGACGCTAGTTATTATTTTTTCATATACTTATTATTTTTTAAGAATAAGTTATCTCCGAGGCAATTGCTAGGAAGTTCGAAACGTGTGTATCATTTTGTGAACGATGCGCAAAGCCTTTTGCGATCGATAGATTTCACGTAAATCCCGAGTCTCAATCGTACATGCAGAATGTTACTCTCGTATATAGAAGGCAACAGAGAAAGTACACGCGGAATGAAACCGAATTATCGATCTCACGCGGGTTCTATTAATTTCAGATAATGATGTATCTCTGTGAGATGCATGTAAACTCTGTGATGACGATTAGAATGACCGTGAATAAATGCTCCCTTACAATATTCGTATATTTCCGTGATTGAGTCCTTCGCTTCGAAAATTTTTGAGCGATTGTATAATTTCTACGATTGATACTATAAAGTTTTAAATTGTAGGTAAAAAAAATTTCGAATCTTCTTCTATCAATCACCGTAAAACCTGTATCAGAGATATCTGGAGATTAATATTGAGCTTGAATTTGATCAATCAAAGCAAAGCTGACTTACTTATTATTAGTTTTCTTCCTTCTAATTGATTAATTTCAATCTGCAGTCTGAGCAGCTTAAGATAGAAGTTCATTTGCATTCTGTATTTCAAACAAGACGCTTTAAAACTTAAATAAATATAGTTTTCATAACTATAGTTGAGAGTCAAGCTTAAGGAAAATTTTTGTAAATGACATCACCGTTAAGTACAGTTGTGGCTTAAGAGATAATCATAGCCCATAGTAATAGGATTATAAACAATTTAGAGAGAGAAGTAGAATCGTATCTCCAAAAAACATTCTAAAGATGTCCCAAGAACGTCGTATCTCCTGAGGACATTCCCAGGATGTTTCTCGGATAAAATGTACTATGTAAAATTTTAAAATACTTGAAGCGACGATCTATGCTGTATACATGAATAAACCATTGCTTTCAACATTTGTTTTTTTTTTTTGCATGAAAGAACGAAAAGAAACTAGAGAAGTAGAACGATAAAACAATCCACATATAGCATATTATACACGACAATCCCATATACGTCGTTAGAAGCAATTATTGAATATAGGATTAGAAATTGGCTATAGAGCCAACTTTATGTCCATGCTGTCGTTGACTCTCATTAGAATTTTTTTACTACCCTGGAAAAGATGGTATTTCGTCACTTTTGCAATAAACGTATCAAACATTCGGCATATATTGACCCTTGAAAGAAAAAGACCTCTTTCATTTGAAGCGTGAACATTTCACTT